GAAATTTAAAGCTAGGCATGCAGCATTCCTGGGAGGCTAAGGCAAGAGGATCACAAGTTTGAGCCCAGCCCTGACATTTTACAGAGACCCATCTCAAAATTTAAAAATCAAAAAAGGGCTGGAGATGTGGCTCAGTGTATAAGGCCCTGGGGTTAGTCCCCAGTACCGAAAAAAAAAAAATTGGCTAAAGAACCAGTTCATGGCTTAATTGCAATCATTTTTCTTTTCTTGCCCCCCCCCAATCCATTGCATGCCCATTTCAAATGGTGGTCAATACTTTGTGTTTTTTAATAAGCATTTTGATATTTATTTATTTATTTATTTATTTATTTATTGGTACCAGGGATTGAACTCGGGACCTCGTGCTTGCAAGGCAGGCACCAAAACCACTGAGCTAAATCCCCACAGCATTTTGATTTTTAATAATTTTTTATTATAAAAAAATTAAAGGTAGGTGCAATAGCACACACACCCATCGCTAAGGGAAATGTAGGCAGGAAGACTCTGAGATCAAGTCTGGCCTGGGCAACTTAATGAGAACCCTATCTCCAAAAAAAGGGAGGGGGAGTATGTATATGCCCAGGACCAAAAAATTTTAAAACATTATACTTTGTACAAGAATGATATAATCTCATGTACCCATAATCCAGCATCTTAATTTATTAGCCTCTAACCATCTTGTTTCTGAATGCTTATTTTGTATCATTTAGAGAAATCTTTAAAGATAGCTATTTATCCTTATATTATATCATTCTTTTGGGTCCTGTATATTTATAATATATTATTTAAGTGCTTTAACTGAATTGACTTTTTCTTCTGCATTTTATATATTTAACTCTTTCTCTTTGTCATCAATTTTATATTTAATTCCGTCATTAACTTCTTGATATTTTGAATTTTTTTGTTCTACAGTGGTGTTATTTTGGAACTCAATTCATTTTTTTTTTACTACAATCTCTCTCTTCAACACATTTTGTTATTTTACTACATAAACTTTGCACTCTCACTGAATTTATAATATTTAACTTACTTAATAATGAGATAGACTTTGAAGTTTTCTCCTTTGTCCTTGAGTTATATTTTCTTCTACAGTATGGTCATTGACCACTTTCTGTTGGCTTGCTCACTTTAAAAAAAAATCATATGTTGTTTTAGTAATGTATGTTTATCTCACTGCCATGCCATTTCTTTGATTTTTTTTCTTGAACCTTTGATTTTTCTTATATGTCTAGCTACTAAAGATTCTTGTCTTACAGTGATTTTGCCCTCTGACAATATTTGGTTATGTCTGGAGACATTTTTGGTTGCAGTATTAGAATATCCCAGACAAAATATTCTATTTCCTTGCTTTATTATTAATCTTAGATGACTATAAAGTCATACCAAAGAAGAAACACTAGGTTGAGGAATTTCCCCACAGGTAATTGTGAGGAGGGCTATCAGCAACAATCATGATCAGGTGAAGAGATTACTAGAAGAAAGTTGTATCACCTAACCAGGAAGAAATGGAAGAAATCAATGTTGAAACAGATGGGTCAGGTGAGATTTTTGTCCAAGAAATCAGGTAAATCAGAGAGAGAAATAGAAATAGGGCCTTCAAAGATTGACCCTTAGCTCATAGCCACTTCAGAGACTGTGTTCAATGTTCCTCTTTCTCTAATCCATTCTGCTTCTGAGATCATCCCTGTCGAATTCCATCTAGCTTCCTTAGCTATTTATAGAGCAAGGACACTGGATGGGAGGAGGGGGCTAGATGTCTGAATCTATGATTTCGTTCCCAACTTTTCTGCCTTGCTCATCATGGGGCTCATCTATTTCTGTGGGTATGGGTCTCTGTTCTCAGCTTGCTGTATTCTCTCTTCCCGAGCAGTATAATTCTCAAATAGTTTTCAAAACACACAAAGGAACCCACAAATGTCTGTACTGCAGAATCCAATCTTTTTGCCTTCAAACATGCATGTCAAACAGCACACTTTGGTCACTGATGAGTTTTGTAATTTCCAAACACTCAAGTTCACAAACAATCTTGTACTGAGGGCACCTTTGTTAACAAGCAGAGTCTTCATCATAGTGGTACAGGGAAGAAGGCTGAGGACAGTGATGCCTGACAGACAACTCCAATAAGGGACAAAATGCCCTGATAGGAAAAAGCCACAAAATCACTAACCTCTCTGTGCATACTGCATTTGCAACTTCTCTGAAATTTGCTAGGCTGATTAAACAGAGCTAGCAGCCAGACATAAATACCCACTTTCCACAGCCAGGCATGGGCCAACTCTACAAGTTGCAGTCTATATCTGCCTTTGGTTTACTGGCTTTATCTTCACATCTGTAGCTCATGAGGGAACATAAAGCTGCCCTTAACCAGATTGACACTTGTGGGGGTGTGGGCCAATGGAGTGGAGATAAAGACAAAGGAAATGAATCAGGACTTTTCTCCTCAGACATCTTATAAGCACTCCTTTTACCACATGGCTCTGAAAATTTAAAGAAATTCTGTGAATCTCTCAATCTGCATAAATTAGCATCAGTTGGTCACAAAATAATTTTGCCATTATACATTTCTTGAAGTTTATTAAGTGACTAACACACTCAATGTAGCTGAGAAGATCTGGCTAAGTCAGATGGTCAGATCCACAATATGAGTCTGTCTTTAATATTGGATCTTCATCACCTTCTCTAATCCTTAGGATGTCTCTCACTGAGGGCTCTGACACTCCTAAGCTGTCTTAGTACCTAGTTTACTTTTCATGCCACTGACCTCAGCCCCAGAGCTGGCCAAAATCATCTACCTCAGAGTCATTCATCAACTTGCCTGCCATGTCTTCAGCCCTTCTAAACCCCTTTTTATCCATAGCTAACTTCCTTGGTCTCTCTGAATCACTGTCATTCTCTTCCTTGATACTCATGGTTAATCTTAGTGCCATCAATACCTGTTTCTTTTGTCCACTTTTCTGGGTCCACTCCTCCCCTCTGCCTGAGTAAGCTGGCCCTCGCTGTGACTCATTGTCTCCTCATTTTGCTCTGGGGGGACCTCTAAGATGATTTTGTTCGTAACACTTCTGACACCAAATGTGTGTTGTCTTTTCCTATTCCACACTACCAACACTGACACAAGCTGGATACCCTGCAGTTCCAGTCAGTTCTGTCACTACTTGGAGTTAGCTTCAGATCCCACAAGTTAAGGCTTAGTCCCATAAGACTGCCTTCACTTCAGATGTCAGTCACAAGCCCTGTGTTGTCACTGGTACTTCTGTCTCACTGGCTATAAATTCAGGAGTGGCCTTTATCAGGTTTGATAAACCTCTTGAAGTCCTCAAAAAATAAACTCAGAAAAATACTTTACTTACCATAACTGGTTATTATAAAAGATACAACTCAGGAACAGCCAAATGGAGGAGATTCATGGGCAAGGTATGTGGCAAGGAGTACTGCGATTCCACGCCCTCTGCATACGACACCCTCCCAGCTCATCAATGTGCTCATGATCTAGCAGCACTCCAAACTCTACTGTTTAGCAGGATTATAGAGTTTGCATTAACTGGACATAATGATTAAACCATTGGCCACTAGTGATTAACTCAACCTCCATTCTCTCTCCTTTGCCTAGAGGTTGGGATTTGGGATTCTAAGAACTCTAATCTAACCCTCTAGTCAAGCCTCTCCAGCATGATCTTTCTGGAGACTGCCTCTAAACTCACTCTTATGTCCCTTCCATCCCTGATACATAAACTAACATAAGATCTTAAGCTGTATTTTCCTTAGATTACACAAGATCTTGTGCTGTGATCTCAGTCTTATGTCATACCAGGTATTGTATTCAGGAAGCAGAAACAAGGCACTTTCCTGTGGCACACTTTAGGTGGCATAGTCCATTGGCTGGCTGAATGAATCACTATTCCCCATCCTCTCCTCTTTGCTGTTTCTTGTGATATGGATTAGAAAATTTAAATATTCTATTTCTCTGCCTCTCCTGCATCTACAGATGATAGAGTTCTGGCCAAGGAGACATATGCAGAAGTTTTCTAAAGGATTGACACATAGGTCAGGTGCAGATTATCTGCTCCCTTGCTTTTTTCCTACTTTAAACTCAGATGCAGTAGTTGGTGCTTCAGCAGCCATCTTGGAACCATGTGTGGAAGACCAGCAGAATTGCAGAGGTGCTATTCCTGACCCTGTTGAGCTGCTAAAGCAATGCCACCAACCACCTACCTCCAGATTTCGTGATATGAGAATGAAATAAAGGTTTAAGCAACAGTTAGGTTTCCAAGTATTTGCAGCTGAAATGAATAATTCAAAAGCAATTCCTCCATAAAGCCTGACTGCCTCAGTGCAGACAAATATTTGCTGGTATTTAGACAGTAACTTAAAATGTAAATTTCACTAGTTTTATGCTACTTAAAACATTTCAAAATTATTGTCCACATACTTTCACAAGTTGAACTTCTTAAGGGAAGTAAATCATCTACCTTATTTAAAATATTACAATCCCTGAAAAGGGCTGGACAATCAGAAAAGTATTTTTTAAATACAGTATTCTTTTCAGGAGGCTTTAGGGCTCCAAATAAGGTACATTCCCAGAATCTATAAACAGTTTCAGAAAACAGTACCCTTTGAAACCAAATAAACAAAAACACTAATGTGATTCAGTATGGGCAGAAGTGATTCACCATGAGAGAGTATAAATGTGTGGCAGCAGTGAAAACAGTGGGCAGTGTACTAAAACAGGATAAAGCCACTTGGCAAAAGATAAAACTGGACCCATAACTCATAAGAATAGACTCTAAAGGGATCAGAGATGTCAAGGTTGAGTGAAATCAAATAAGTACTAAAAGAAAATAGGCGAATCGCTTTATAAACTGAGTGTGGGAAAAGGATAACTATAATTCAAATTCCAGATACAATTACTACTATTATTATTACTATTACTACAACTATATAGTAAAAATTACCATAAGCAAAGTCAAAAGACAACAGTCTAGGGGGCAGTAATAGCAAACCTTTTAGATGTTTCAATGATACAAATAGTCCACTTCTGCACACTTGCCATAGGTTCAGTGCCATGAGTCTAAGGTGCAGCACAAGGATAGAGTCGTTGCCTAGCATGCACAAGGCCATCTCCAGCACCACAACCAGCCCACTCTTCAGCCAGCTAAAAGAGACAAGAGCCAAATATTTGCAAAACATCACAAATAATGGGCTCATAACAGAAATCGTTAATAGTAAAAAGAAGAATAATAGTGACACCAATCATAGTGACCCTATTAGAATCACGAATATGTTAGCAACCAATTTAGCCTCAGTTCATTTTAGGACTTAACAATTAAATCTTAACAGCAGGAAGGTTGGAATACTTAACTATCTACAGAGGATCTTTCCAATAGTCATGAGACTTCAAACTTGCCATGCATAAATTTTTATCTAATCTCTACAAACAAAATGTGCATATTCTATTTTAAGAAATATAAAGAGACTTAAAGAGTATTTTTACCTCTGACATTTCCCTTCTTACAGTTTTTTTTTTTTTTAAAAGACTTGAGATCCTGCTGGAGTTACATTTTTTTTTTACCCTGATTTTAGAGCCTAACTCCTGAAAACAATATGATTCCTGTTTGAAAAAATGAGATGTGAGACACTGGAAACAGTAACTCCACCTATATATAGAAGCTTCATCACTTCCTACCTAACAGGTTTCTTATCCTGTATTTATTTTATTTCTTTTTTCCTGTCTTATTATTTAGACAGTTCAAGTGGGATTGGCTTTATTTTAGAAAGATAAATCTAATTGTATACTTCTGTCATCTTTACTGCAGGGGGTGTTGCAAGGAGCACTGAAAAGGGGCCCTTTTATTTTGGCTTTAACTGGTCTGCTGCTGTTTTCTCTTTCTAAGTTTTTACAAGCACTTGGTTGCCATCTTTCTTGGCCAGGAGCTGGCAGGATTCTGTTCCCATACATTTGGCTAGCTTGTTGTACTTGGCTCAGATTGATGAACTATTGTAAGAGTCTCATGGTCTCTCGGTCTACTATCATATCAGAGTATGCAAATGTACTTCCATATAACATTTCAAATGGGCTCACACTTAGCCAAGTTTTGGGCATGTTATGAACCCACATGAGTGCTATAGGTAGCAGTTGAAGCTAGGACTCAGATAGCTCTTGGAAATGTTTTGTTAGAGCTTGCTTTAGGGTCTGTTTGGCTCTACCTTTCCAGAAGATTGTAGCCACTAAGTGGAATGAAGGTGGTACTTTATTCCTAAAGTCTTTGCCACTACCACAGTTATTTGTAAAGTAAAAGAAGGTCCACTGTCACTCTGGAGAGACTGGCAATCCAAATCTTGGGATAATTTCTTTAAGAAGAACCTTACCTACTTCTGTAGCCTTTTCTGAATGGGTAGGAAAAGCTTTAATTCTGCTTGCAAAGGTGTCAATTAGGACCAACATCTGTTTAAATCTTCCGTATGGTAGCATATGGGTAAAGACTCATTACCAGTCCTCGCCAGGGAATGTCCCTCTCTGTACAGGTGCTAATAAAGGAGGCAGTCTGAGCTTGCCTAGGGTGCTGTAGGGACAAAGTGGGAAAACTTTGCAGAGCTGTTTAGCAGTTGCTGCTAGTCTTAATCCTGTGGAAACTCAAGTGACAGTTTTCAATGCAGCATCTTTTTTCATATGGAAAGAATCATGAAGTGTTTTTATAGCTTTTCACTGTATTCTTGGGGAAGGATAAGTTTGTTTCCTAAGTATCACCAGAGTCTCTTTTTAATTCTTCCTTGTCCTAAGGAGTAGGACACTATAGGACAATTAGAAACTCATGGTTAAACATTTGGCCTTCAAGTGACATGTCAGAGGAGTAAAGAATCTCTGACTATGGGTTCAGCCCAACTATGGACTTAAAGGAGAGTTTTCCAGAGAAGGAAATCAAAACAGAACAAGCTGCCCCTGTAATTATAAGCAGTTGAACTGGCTCACGCATGATGTCTAAGGCTACCCAGAGTTTTTCAGAGGAGATGGTGATATGGACAGGGGTGCGGCAGGTTTCCTGGGCCTCTTCAGTTCTGAGAGGGAAATGAGGGTTTTGGTTGGCCTACCCCCTCTCTGGGAGCAGGGACAGTCAAATGTCCAGTGCCATGGGAACAGGGCCTAGGCATGGGCTTGATGTAATTTTGTGCCCAGTGACTAGTCTCTTTACACTTGAAACAGGAATAATTTTCTTGGTTGCCTGTAGGTTTTTCCTCAGATGACCTGGGTGGGTTTAAAGCATTACCAATTGTAATGGCTATAATCTGGCTTTCTCTTTTCTATCTTCTCTGGGTCCCAATTTTTGAACACAGAAAAGGTCTAGCAATTAGGTCATAGGTGTCTGAGACCCCGTCTGAAGTTTTTGTAGCTTATGCTGAGTATCTGGGGCTGAATGACAAATGAAATATTGTCCCATTAGTGCCTCTCCCTCCCTACAGGATGGATCTATATTACTATATTTACAAAAGACTCACACACCTCTTTATTTCCCTGGTAAAAGCAGCTAGCATATCAGACATCATTTCTAGTCTGACTAGTATTACAGTCCAGTTTGGTTCTGTTGAAGGGGGAATAACCTTTTTAAGGTGGTTTCTTTTCTTTTTAAAGAACATTGTTCATTTGCTTAGTTCCTAGCTTCTTGTACATCTATAACAAGAAGGGGCCTGATTTATTGGCCTGGGAACTATAAGGAGGAGGTAGAAGAGAATTCCCCATATCATCAGGCAGATCAGAGACCCACCTCCGCTTGAGAGACAAATGGAGGTCTTAGAACAGGGTCATCCAGGATATCTTTGTCTTCCTCAGAACCTGTACTAACTACCATAGTTTTTAAACTTTGCCTCAGATAAAGAATTATAGCTGGGCATGGTGGTGCACACCTGCAATCCCAGCACTTGGGAGGCTGAGGCAGGAGAATTGCCATGAGTTTGAGGTCTGGCTGGGCTACATAGTGATTTAAAGGCCTGGCTGAACTACACAGCAAGACGCTGTCTCACACAATTAAAAATAAAGTTGTAAAAGCCCCAACATAGGTCAGTTTACTCAACCTTTCATGTTTCAAGCAGAAATACCGTAACTGGACAATAGTCTCATAGTCTCAAGTACCATCCCATACTCATCTTTTGCTACCTCCTAGTTCACTTTGAACCCAGATTATATTACAATAGTAGATAAGCTATTCTTGTTTTAAACTGTCAGGATCATACCTTCCCCATTCATCAAAGATATGGCCTAGTAGTGAAGTCATCAAAATCTGCTGGTGACAAGATCCCATTAATTATCCATCTGCTTGTCTGGGACATAGAGAAAGAGAGAAGGGAGACAACTAGGTTTCTGCTCCTTAAGGCCATGTCCCATGCATAAGAGGAGACCTGAAGTCCACAGGTGCCCCTTGTGCAACTTTACAAAATCTGGATTGTAGGAGACATCCCTGCCCAGTGCTAGTGCGCTATGAGTGGCATGTGCTTCTTACCTTCCATAATTTGTCTATATTGTTTTATATCAGGAGTCAGACTGAAGCTCTATGTGACATAAGTGGGCATGTCAGATGGTGGACTGGGCAAGTATAGGCCCTCCCTCAGTGGCTACCATGGAAACCTAGGCCCTGGTCTGTGAAGTAGCAGGACTGTTCATGCAGCTGAGGTAGTGTGACCCCCAATTAAAACCCTTTCCCCTGAATTATGGCTTCTCACTGATCTGTTGGGGTACATGCTAATTGTACCTGGTCCCAGTACTGGTTTGTTCTATCCAAGCCATATAAACAGTGCTTACTTCCTGACAGCCCTACATGGTGCCATCATGCCAGGTGTTCAGCAGTGTTTTAGTAGATGCCTTCAAAGCAAACCCTGTTCCCTATTCCTTCTCACAATTGTATTCAATAAATATTGGATATGCTTGGGGGCCTTTATCTTTGCTGCCACCAGCAGCACTGACCAGGACCCAAGACTCAGCTTCTCTACTCAAGTCTCATTTCTGTCTGTTCTTGAATTTGCCTTGTGCTGTAGTGGTTCACAGGCTAGGACCCAAAGCAGAGGTCCTGGTAATGTCCCCTTCCCAAGTCCCTACATTGGATAGATGCATCTGAGAACCTCAGAGTGATGCTGGCATCATTTTACCATGACCCACACCCCCTAAACTTGTGGACACATTAAATCATTAGAGAAAAGGGGGCTGGGCCATCTGTTGGTCTTGCCTAATCCAAATTTTGTGAGGTAATGTTAGAACTTTCCAAAGCAAAGTTCTTTTAACCACCTCAATGAACTTCTTCATGGTCCAATTTGAACTTAGAAACCATATGAAAAATGTATTGCTTGCATTGATTCTGACCAAAGAAGTACTGTACTAAGAGCTAGAATGGATCTTTTTTTTGTTTTTTGTTTTTACACTGTTACATTAATTAGCCATTCAGTTTAGGCATCAGCATAGGTCTTTAACTTCCTTGTATTTGAACAGAGAAATACAAAAGCTAGTTGATGATGGCTTCAGGTGGGATCTTAGACAGAGTGAAGGGCTCCTAGCCCTGGGTTCTGCTTTTAAAATGGACAATTTTTTTCCTTGAGTTCATATTTCTCCCCCTATGGAACTAGGTAAGACTGAAATGCTTCACTGGGATTGAAGCAGCCCTCCAGTTTTACTTGCATACTTATATTCACCCCTCCACAAGCAATCACATTTGCCCAGGGCTGAAGGGTGAAGCAGGGTCCTCCATCCATAAAAGTGCTTAAAGGGATAGTATACTATTTTCACTTTTTGTGTGGGAAGAAAGAAAAAGTTTCCTTCTCTTGCTCTCCATAAGCCCATATGCCTAGCTTGCAAGACCAGTTACTAAAGAAAACAAAAACAAAAACAAAAAAAGCAAAACAAAACAATAGCGGCAGCTGGTGACGCATCTATATCTAAAAGTTATGCATAGTGATGTAAGAAAAGAAGATGGAGACTGACCACCTGGCAAGGTAACATGGCTGCTAGCCACGCAGTAAGGGAACATTGCAGCACCCCCAACCAAAACACTAATCAAGAAAAAGCCATTTGCAAAGTAGGTTAAGGGGAGACCAGGCTAACTTAGCAAAAAACACAACAAACAAATGCACCTGCAGAGTGAAGGCAACCCACTAGAAAGAAAAATAAAAGCCTACATTCCCTTCCCCCACTCCCACAGCAAGAAAAGCAATGAATAGCTCCCTGTGTACCTTTAGAACAGTCTTCTGCTTTCCCAGCTTAGAGAGGAGAGTGAGGATAAGAGGGAGAGAGGAAAAAAAATCTTGCAGAGAAAAACAAAAAAGTGTGACCATATAGGCCTTACCCTACTCTTTGGTACCTGAACTTCATTCACTCTTGTGCCTAGCCACACCAAAATGTTACCTCTTTGCTGGTTCACCAAATGTTATAGGGTAGTTTAGAAACAGCTCACCAATCAAAAGTTTTCTAGGTCCTTCTTGCATTGAACAAAGAATTGGATCAGACAAGCCAATAATGATGCCAAAAATTTTATTTGAAAAATGTGGGGTAAACGGGTATGACAGAAACCAGCTCTGCAGAGCTAACTGAGGTGGACAAAGAGAAAAAGAGGGTAAAAGTAAAAGTAAACATGTTGTTCAGATGAGGCACGGTCTACCATGCAAACATACATGGTAGCAGCTTTCCATAAAGGCTGCTCTTTTTTTCTTTTCCACATCTCTTTGGAATTTGTAAATTTTACATATAGGGTCGTAGAGTTGCCCTGGGATCTTGTGATTGACAGGTCCTGCTTGTTTTCCCAGCCAGCTTAGCCACATCCTAGCTCCTATATCAAGACCCAGAGGGAAGGAATCTGGCACACTGAGGCATAATGCTGTCCTTAGAGCAGAAATGATGCCCCTTTGCCACTCTCCTGGTCATGTCTCATCTTCAGCTGCAGATATGGTAGACAGTTACTTGTAAGCTGAAGGCTCCCCCTTTCAAGTGCTCACTATAATGTCTTTCAGAATTCTTGCCTCAGTATCTCAGCCCTTGCACACACAAAAATAGAAGTATGACCAAAAAGCCTTTTCTGAATCCAAGAGGGATGGGAATGGGATTCTACAGTGTTCTTCAGGGTGTGCAGAGTTGAGACCCAGTTGCCAACATGGCAACTGGCTGTACAATGGTTTCTTCTTCTCTCTTAATTTTTTATTTGCATTTTAAAAATGAGAGCATTTGTTTTATGGAGGAAAAAAAAACTATCCAAATTGTGGAATAGGGGCTAGCAAATAGTTTAAAGATCTGGTTGTACTAATTATTCAAGGGGCTCTTGAAGTCAAATCCTATTCTTAAGGCACTTTCTTCTCCTCAGTGTTTTTTTGGTACTGGGGTTGAACTTGGGACTTGAGCTAACAAGGCAGGCGGTGGAACCACTGAGTTAAATCCCCAGCCAACATTTTCTTCTCTTTGGTTCTAGCTGATGGCAGTTTGAAGGTGGATTGCTTGGGGTCCTCACTCCTTCATAGAGTCAAAAAGATTTCTTTCCACAGCCAGCAGAGGGCCTGCCCTAAATTCGCACAGGTGGTGGTCTGTGTGGTGGAAGAAGTGTCTTCCTCCTCAAACTGTGATGATGAGGTTCAGGAGGTCTCTATAAAACTTATATTTTGGTTGTCAGTCACCTGGCTTTCCATCTCATCAAGTTTCTGTTCCCTAAACATTAGGGGAATCTCTGGGAACTGGTGGATATCTTCATTTTCTGGTAGTTAGCACATGGGCAAGTCTTCACATGTGCCATGTTCCTAGTGACTGACCTGAGCCTCTACGGAGGGGAGCTGCTGCACAGCTGGAGGTCTTCTATCAGAGTGAGTTCAAGGCAATCAGAGTCATTATCTTTTGTTATTTCTCTGATTTTCTTGATCAAATTTCTGCATAAGGTCAACATTGAACCTAACCATTGAATTTGAGTTTTCCTCCCATTCAATTTTTGACCAGAAACATGGATAGAACTAAGTTCATAGAGTAAGGCCTTACCTTACTCTTTGGTACTGATATTTGGTACATGATATTTTTTGTTAGATTTTTTTTTTTTTTTTTTTTTTTTTT